TTCATTAGAATCATCCCGCCTATTAAAATGCCGTTGATTCACTATCCTAAAGCTGTTTGCGAATCAGACGTTTATTAGGAACAATCCTTGAGTTATTATTTCTAGATTAATATCTGGCATAGGTTCACATTCTATCTGATTACAAAAACATCTTGTGTCTTCCAATACAATGTAGTTTTGAATCTGTGCCTACTTCCCGTCAAGCAACTACGAGACAAACCAACGCAAACCAAAAACAAAACATGCTGGAGACTCACCGTACAGGTACCGCACGACGAAGGCAACCCTGTTGTCCCAGGAGTACGCCATTTTGATTGATAACTGTGTAGTTAATTGAGGTGTTTTTTATTTTTTGCGAGGCAAGGAGCGCGGCGGCGGTCACTCGGCAACTGCCGGCCGCCGCCTGCGCCACCCCGCTCCGAATAAACGGAATAAAACAATATTACAGACCCGCCGCCACGTCACGGCGCGTGCGCGTCTCTAAAATATATCCCGACGCGAGATTCGGCGCTAAGCTTCAGTCTGGTCGGGCTGCGCTTGACCTGGTCTCCAAGGTCGGCTTGCATCAGCTTTGTGCAACGAGTTACTCATCACCAGCGCTGCGCCCCATTACGATAGCTAGGCAATCGTTCGCTGCCCACGACCGTAATAGTTTTCTAGAAATCTATCGATTTCAAATGAATCATCAGCTGGGAGAGGCACTTGAAAAGCTCTGCGCAGCCAAATAACTAGATAAGGCTGGACACGTAATTAGGATTTTGCTCTACCTACCAAAGATATAGTCAGTTAGAGACCCATTTCCATGGTTTTTGAGGGGAATTAGAAATACTTATACTCGTAAAGGTTGTTTGTATAAAGAAAGTAAGTATATATCTACATAATGATGACCTCATATTTTACTCTCGAGAACTAAGAAGTATTTCGCATAGCAGATTAAAATTTAGCAGTCGGTTACCTGGAGTTGCCTGGCTGAGGTAGAATGTTAACAATTCCACTTAGGCTCTACTCAGTAGGTCTAATTAGGCTGTGTTTTTTAATCGAGTTTAACAAGTCTTACTTGATTGGTGCAACTCAGGAGTTTGTTCAATTGATTTTTTACTTTGCTGAAATAACTGTCGTCAGTAGATAATGTAGGTACCTAGTCGTTATGGAAATCCTTGGTGGAGGCCTTTGTCCAACAGTGGACGTCATTTGGCTGAAACGAACGAACAAAGTACCTACTATTTACTACTATTTTTAAATCCGTAATTAATTACTATTTTTAAGGCCGTGGCAGCCTGTAATTAAGATATCACCTAGTCCTAAGACAAAATATGTATGTAAACCCATGCTGCATGTACTAGTGTCTATCTTGTTGGTTGTCCTAAATAAATAAACTCACTGCGTCAAAATAAGTGCAAGCCTATTGAAAGCGTGCTTATCGGTGACCTGCCGTCAGTTTCGAGCCTGTGGTAGGCCTTTTTGGAATCAAATCCTATTGCTTATATCTTAGACGAACTGTCCACTTGCTAACAGCTATCCTACGAACATTTCTGAGCTCTTGCTGGACGTCGATACCAGTCAAATGACGATTTCATAGAGAGTTTGACATGAAAAAACGGTCATCCCTCTGCGATGTGCACCGGCGCTGTTCAGAACTTGGTCTCGGGATAAAGCCACCAGTCTCCTGAAAGCGTCTTAAAACTTTAGAAACCCAAGACTGGCTTATGTGGAGCTGACGTGCGATAGCCCGCTGGCTGAGCCCTTCTTGCAATAGTGCAACGATTTGTGCTGCTTCTGAAGGTGTAGAATCCCAGGTAAAGTGTCAAAAGAAGGGGATATGTGTATAAATAAATAAATAAATCTATATATATAAAAGAAAGTCGTGTTAGTTACTCCACTTATAACTCAAGAACGGCTGAACCGATTTAGCTGAAAATTGTCAGGGAGGTAGTTTAGAGCCAGGAGAAGGACATAGGATACTTTTTATCCCGTTCGAAATTAAAAAAAAAGTCTGCTTATTTATTGCCATTAAGGCGGAACAAAGTTCGCCGGGTCAGCTAGTAATAAATAAATCTTTTGACGATTTCACACAGCGCCATCTAGCCCCAAAGTATTAATGCTTGTGTTATGGGTGCTAGGCTAGCACTATATCCGTTAAGCTAGCACTGCTAGCTTAACGGATATAACTACTTATATACTTTTTTTTTGTATGGATCAACGTGTGAAAGCTAAAATCCGAAAATACATGCTTTTATAGGGGATAAGATAAATAAGCCGCAACTCGCGACGTATCAAACAGTTGATACATGTCTTTTTCCTTACTTCTTCACATCAGCCGTTCACATTTTTTTAAATACTGGTGTGATTTCAATGAATTTGGTATTAATTTAAAGTTAAAAGTTTATCCCCTTACTAATAAAAAGTTACAGAGTTTTTGAACACTGTTTTAAAATGACATTTCCATACTAAACGTCACTTTAAAACACTGTTCAACGAGCGTGTAAGTTTTATTAGTAAGGGGGTTAATCTTTAAGGCTTGGTATTTCTGCTAAAGTAGGTATTTCGCGCTGTCAAAATCTGCGCGCGCAATACTTCGCCGAAGACAGCGCGCCAAAGAGCTCTCGCNTGGTGTCACTTTTTTTGTTACTTACAAATTCGTTAGTACACAAGATCGCGTGGAAACAACATCATGTAAGTGATTCCATACTTTTGCTCGCGAGTGTAGTCAATCTAGACATTCTGTATAATTTTAATCAAATATTTTCTGGAAAATGATATCTGCTTGGAATGGAACGTTTATGTATTTGTTAGTCCGAAACAAATGCTTAAGATGTTTTCCTTACAAATTTCGGTATCCTTCCGTTTGGCCAAATTACTTTTCGCCAAATTTCACTTCGCAAACAACTTATCGCCAAAGTTTCATTTCCCAANACCTAGGTGATTATTAATAAATAATAATAAATAAATATCCTTGGACATTTTACACTGCGCCGCTAGCCCCAAACTAAGCAAAGCTTGTACTATGGGTACTAGACAACGGATATAAACATACTTAAATACTTTTTTTTTTTTTGTAAATACATACATATTATACATAGAAAACACCCAGTCCAATACAAACAAATATGTTCATGCACACAAATGTTTGTACTGTGCGGGAATCGAACCCGCAACCTCCGGAATAGTAGTCCCATTCGAACCACTACACCAAACGGCCGACGATATTATAAGCAGCGTGAAGTTAATTTATTAGGTAAGGCTTGCCGCGTTGTACATTATTATTGAATTAAATAAATAGATCTCAATTTTTATTAACTACAAAATATTGTAGTTGTAACCTGTTTCAGTAAACAGGCAAAATAATATAAATATATTGCGGCATTGGTAATAAAGTGTCGTCACTTATTATTTTTATTATTGTGAAACTGCTAAGTTTCAGAACTTTCAATAGTTGGTTTTAATTGATCTCAAATAATGAAAATGTAAAAATTTTATTTTGTGTTGTCTTTTATGAGTATCTACTTTTTTAAAGTGGTAAATTTAAAAAAATATCATAATAAAACGTATGATTGATATCAATGATTGCTAAAAATAGTAAAGACTTGATTTTTTTAAAATCAATATACATTTTCAACACTAAAACAGGTTTTGTTATTTTTGACATAAATGCAATTTTCTTTATTTCCTGAACNTTAGTAATCCACAAATTTCACTTGCATGGACACAGAATATTGTGTAATTTAATTAAAATCAAAGTCCTCTTGATTTTAATTAAATATTTTTTAACTTTTGCAAAATAAAATAACCTTGGTTTTTTATTTAAACTCAAAAGTCATAATTTATGATGACTAGTTTTGGAATGGTTCGGAACACAAAGTTTATCGATCAGTTGTCAAAATGACATGCATTTTTTTTATTCTGTCAAATACATTCTCATGGATTTCAAAACATTCTATTTTTTAAAGATTTTGAAGTAAATAGAGTTATTAATTCAGTTACGTTGATTAATAACATTGTAAACATGCATTTCCGAAAAGCTCTAAACCATTCCATTGCAATACTTTTAGTAATAGGTAAATATCTTTGTCCTAAAAGTTTCTTCAAACATCCGCTATCAGTCAGTGTTTTCTACTTTAAATATAATATTAATATAGTCTTTTTAACCTATTTGGTAGGTGTTGGAACCCAAAATTACTGTTTGCTATATAATTGTGGTAATTTTTGCAGGGTTTGCGGCAAATACGTTCCAGTTTGATATGGAAGAGGATTCTGCAGTCGAAACACCAGAGGATACGAATCTCGATGTACCTAACGTTGACGAGTCTGAGTCGCTGCTTTCAAACGTGGTTTCCGACGTCAACAAGACTCTGACGAACCTCTATAACCATGTAACATCAGCGAATGTGACTGTTGAGAACAGTACAAGCTCGCGCAATGAAACTCGCAAACACGTGCGGTGCAAGGAAATAATATACGACCCCAGTGAGGAGTTCGAACCGTCAGTTGAAATTATCAATGGCAGCCACTTGGCCAAAATGCTTCAAATCAAGCCAGATATCACCAGCAGGGATATGGAAGCAGAATGTCTTCTAGTGCTATTCTTCGCAAGAGCCTGTCCTTTCAGCGCTCACGCCGCTCCTCATTTTAATGCTCTGGCTAGATCATATCCTAGTGTCAAAATGGTGGCCCTAGACGCTTTGAAATATCATGGCATAAACGCACAATATGGTATTGTTGGTGTGCCTACTTTGAAAATGTTCCACAATGGGCGGCCTGTTGGTAAATTCAATGGCACAGAGTACAACATTCAGTCGTTCAGCAAGTTTGTGCATGCCATAACTGGACAGTATCCTCAGGGTCTGTTGGTGACTTCTAAGGACTTCCAAGGCCCAGTCTCGAGTGTTGTTGAGAAAGACACAGACTATTTCTTAGTTTTGTCATGGCTATTTATTATTATTTGCTCAATATACTACTTCACACAGTCAAAATGGTGGAAAATGATTGTGGAGATGGTCCAGAATAACTGGAGGGAATCGGAGGCTCAGCATGAGCATAATGATTGATAAACAGTAAAATTGTGACTCAGTTTAAGCTATTTATTGTTATTTCTTTTGCTGTACATATTAAATATGTTTGATAATACATGTTGTAATTTAATTACAACAATAAAATAATAAATACACATTATAATACATTAGCTAGAAAACATGTTAAACTTCAAAGTTAATTCAATTCAGCTGGCATTTCTTTGCTTTTCAAAGCAGATAAGATGTTCTGAGCTGTCAGCTCACTCATGGTATTCCTGACTTCAATAGCGGCACTGCCAATGTGGGGTAGAACTACACAATTCTTCAATTTGAACAATGGGTTATCTAAAGGCAGAGGTTCTGGAGTGGTGACATCCAAACCAGCTGCTCTTATTTGGTTGGTTTTCAGGGCCTCTATTAGTGCATCTTGATCTACAGTGCCTCCTCGACTGGTATTTACAAATATGGCTGTCTTCTTCATCTTCTCAAAAGCAGTTTTGTTGAACATTTCTTTTGTTTCTGGTGTAAGAGCTGCACAGCAGATGATAAAGTCACTTTCACTTAGCAGCTGATCAAAGTCAACCTTTTCAGCTCCTATTTCCTTAGCCTCTGATCGTTCACTACGGTTGAAGTAGAGAATTTTGGAAGTGTTAAACGCTTTGACTCTTCTTGCAACAGCTTGACCTATGCGTCCGAATCCGACGATTCCTACAACTGCTCCAGCAAGACCTGGGCCAGTCATCCAGGTGGGTGCCCAAGAGACCCAGCCTCCTGTTCTGGCTTCATGCTGGGCTTCAGGAAGGCGCCTTGATGTTGAGAGGAGTAGAGCTAGCTGTAAAAACAAAATAGTTTCTTTAATGCTGAATGATGACAAAATATTTTTATTGATTGTGTTGACAACACAAAAAATTTAAATCAAAATTACTTCATACTTACCGTAAGTTCAGCTGTAGCATCAGTCAGTACGTCTGGTGTGTACCCAACCTTGATGCCTCTCTTTCGGCACTCCTGAACGTCAATGTGATCGTATCCCACCGATATTGTGGCCACCACTTTGAGCCCTGGGCCGGCAGCGTCCAGCAACTCCTTATCAATCTTATCGGTTAAAGAGCAGTAGATTCCATTTGTTCCTGCTACGGATTTTAAGAATTCTGCTCTTGGAACCGGTGATGGTTTCTCCCAGAGTTTTACATTGCACCTGGAAATGTAAAATAGTAATTTTGCTATAATTAGTATTGAGTCACAGTAGTTAGCCAAGTCGAAGGGCTACCCTACAGGCTTAGGTTATATTCAAAGAAACTTATTTGAACTAAAACTAATAAGTAGCAGCTTTTTTGTAAAGCTATTTAGTTCAACCACAGAATAAGAGTGTTGTTCAACTCAGAATATAATAAGAACTAGCACTAACAGAGAAAGTTGATGTGGCATATTTCAACAAAGTACATGCACATGGCATTCAAAGAACTTCATTATAGATAAAATAATCTACTTACTCTTTCTTTAGCAGATCCACACCAACTTGTGGCATGTCAGAGCGTGTAATATACACATTATATTTTCCCGACTCGCTCATGTTTCTCACAAAATGACCCCGACAGACTAAACTACTTGATAGTGTCGCTATTCTTTTATAATTCATGAATCTATAAAGTAAATTATTCCGCGTTTCTTGTGCTAAGCGTCAAGGCCACGTTATTTGTCTGGCAAGTATTTGGGTGGCGTAGACGTAGGTAAAACGTTTTTTTCACTCTTGAAAAACGAAGGTTTAGCCACTAATATCGTAATGTGAAGCGCGGCCACAGTCGCCAGTATAACCTTGCCCTTGGTGGACTTCAGGAAAGATAAAGCAGTCATACTATTACTACTGAATCTAGATAAACTAAATAATTATGTTACATAAATCTGCAAAAATGATAACCCAATGTTTTTATAACCTTTTTCGCTTCGAGAAATAGCATTTCCTGATTTTCAACTTAATTGTCAAATTTGACAATTGACACAAAATATGACTGACGTTTCTGCTTCGTTTAGAAACATAAAAAAACTCTATCACGGTTTTATTTTTCTAGAAAGGAAAAAGCATAGGGAAAAGGGGAGTATTTTAAGAAAATAATATTATTTTTATTGGTCCATTTACCTACATGATTACAATGTGATCGTTTAGGTTCGAGACATGACCCCATGAAAATGTTTATTAACCAAATGGATGGCGTATGGCGCAGTGGTGTCGTGTATCGTTTGGAGTTGTGTCCTAAGTTCGATCAAAGTCGAAAGATTATAACTGGGTGTGCTGAAAGACACCACCGCTAAACATCCATTATCTCTGCACATAAATAATCCGTCACCGCTAAGATATCTAGTAATTCTCGTACGTAGATGTTAGGTGGTCGTCGGTTTCAAATTTTTCATTGACTTGGTAACAGTAGGATGGTAAAGTATCGAATTACAAAGCATAGATAGATGAATACCTATTTTTTATGCAGCTTTATTTAAAAAGTGCGCACTCTTGCACCGCCTTACTCTACCTATTATTATTGTAGATATAAATATCTTTACCTAATGTACTCAATTATGTTACGAAGACTTAACTAATTTCCGCTTCTACATAGCTTAGACGTGAAATAAAATGTAATTGCAATTATTAATTGAATTAGGTACGTACATCACACCTTTAGTAAATAAGTCAATTAAGTAACGGTTAAAAAACCTACCAAAAAGAAAAGTAGTTAAAAACATAAACATAAGTTAACATTAACTGCTAAATTACTTAGATCATGTAACAATACGTTTTCGTGTTGGACATGATGCTTAAATAATAGATTTTATATTAAGTATGTGAAAATTAAGGCTATTTAAAATAATAATAAAAATTATGTTTTAAGCCATTAAAAAAAAGCATCAACTCTAAATATCTGAATCATTTCATTACAAAGATAACGTCTTTCTTTCATCATCATCCATTGCAGGAGCTGACAGTCTATAATTTACAGGCTAAAATGGAGGATTTATTCTAAAGTAGACTCTCCACGCTGGCCACACGGGTTGGGGAGGCCCTCAGATCATAGAAAGGGAATTCTCTTCTATGATCTGAGGGGAGGCCTGATGTTTGCGTATTTGCTTCGACATCCAAGGGAAGATTAGGAGTGCCCTAAGAGTAGAAGTAGTAATGTAGAGACATACAGCTCGTGTCCTTAGCTTTAAGATAGATTAAATGATAGGAAACTAAGTACGTAAATACTACGATGGACGCTCGCAAGTAAATAATATTAAATTTAAACTATACTTTTATTACGCAGCAGTGAAAGTCGCGTCGTTGCATTCAAACCGAAAACGCGTGCAACGTGGCTAATTAGCCGGTTGCCAAGGCTGAACATTATGAAACATGAGCTACTGGTTCCCAAATCTGGGGTTAGGGAATCCACTTTACTAGTCTATGACTTTCCACAAAGTTATCTCTACCTGAAACCACTGTAAGAATATTATCCGCAATGTTGTCTCTACGTGATTTGATTAACTTCTCATATTCGGTATTGTAATGAGAATGAGAATTATTTTTGTTGTATTTTGCAATAAAACATTTTCAAGTTACCTGATGGTTCTCAAAATTGGCTTGACGAGTAAATCTGTACTAATATTATAAATGCGAAAGTAACTCTGTCTGTCTGTCTGTCTTGCTTTCATGCCTAAACCACTGAAACGATTTTGATGAGGCATAGAGATAGTTTGAGTCCCGGGAAAGGATAGTTTTTAATTCCGTTTTTTGAAACAGGGACGTGCGCGATAAAGTTTTTTTGTGACAGACAAAAATCCACGCGGGCGAAGTCGCGGGCGGAAAGCTAGTAATTTAATAAGCAACAATCTGAGATCTAAGCTAAAGTTAAAGTTACACACGCCTGAAGGAAGCATCATAAACGTTTAATATTATCTATTTATTTCTCCATAATCTTTGCTTCTAACGAGGGGCACGAAGACATGTTGAGAACCTCTGTTCGAGAGTAACAAACGGAATGATATTAATATAATAACTCTAATTGAAATACATTAAAAATATATGCACATTTTAATTGCTGGGGAAATTAGACTGTTGAAGTTTGTCTGCAAAATATACCATTCCGACTCGGTGATAGATTGTAAGTGCATTATGAAATTAAGACTGGTAATTAGTTTTGTTATTTGCTGTATTGAATTAGATAATAGTTTTTTGCTGTGTAACCATGATACGTTATAAATGACCATGTTTAGCAAATGCACTTATCATGTTAACGGATGTAGAGTTCGTTTTGCGATAGTGAGTTAAGTAGGTATAATTGGCCATCACATAATACATAGGTACATAACATACAAAGAACCAACAACACACCAGGCTGCTCTGTGCATTTCCAGTTAGGTGCTACATAGACATACTTTTCAACAAATATACATATAAGGAGGTAGATTCTAGATGCTGGTTGTATTACCTAGGTTTTGTACTGCATTACTTGGATAAAAATGTTGTGAAATTAATAGGCAATCTGCGTGTTCTGAAATTGTTGATAAGTGGTTAAATATAGGCTTTAATCGTTAAATCAATATAAAGTAGGCAGTTAGTTACATCATGTGATGGATGGATCTTATTATTGAAAAAAGTTTTGCGGAAACTTTCAATCATATCAAATATAGTCATTTTGATCATAAATACATTACATTATAATAAATGTTTCATTATAACCACACTTTCTATCTGTTTCACCAATTACCACTTATCTGGCTGTTATTAAAAATAAAATACAAATTAACTGAATGCTTAGAAGGAAGATTTTCACATTCGAGACTGTATTGCGTGATGATCTCAAAGGCAATTTTAGCAAATAGATTTCGTGCTCCGCCAAGTTTATCCGATGAAGGTGGCTGTCCACATAAATAATTACAATTAGAGACGCAGACTCGACCGTTAATCAAAAAACTGATACAACTTTCTTTCGGTGGCACATAACTCAGTTTCCGAGATTCCTTCGCCTGTAAAATGCATTGGAATTTATTAAAAGTGTGATCGAGTTTCATCTTGTTAGCGAGGAATCTAGACGTTACAATAATAAAGTGACGCACAAATTTCGAGCGTGGCTCGGAAGCGAGACATTTTTGATGAAAAAACGCGCGCGCTTTCTCGCGGGCGCAATTAGAAGATTCGCACACGAAATGCAGCGGAGATATTCGATCGGTGCGCTGCGGATGCGGTGACCACCTGGTTATCTTCAGTGCTGATACAATCTCTAGGGCCAGCCATTACGAGCATGCTAGCAAAGCTGTCTACTTTTGGCAACCCATAAGGAGGTATGTGACCAATTGTCAAGTGACAGCGTTTCACTTGCTGAAATATTTAATTGAACGCCGTAAAAGTGGCACAGTAAATGCATAAATCACTCGGCTTCGATTTAAGTCAATTGCTTCCTACCTGATCTGAAACATATTAGAAATTAAGTAAAGTATAGGTCGGTAATCAGTGTAAGCAAGCGGCTGATGCCGACACTTAAAGTAATGGCAATGTGATGAAAGAGTTAATTAACAAGAAATGTTTTTAAAAGATCTTTAAATAAGAAGGCGGGATACCTATTAAATTTTATAACATGTTTATTGTGTGGTCACTCCGCAAACTGCATATTAAACGAATATGAACGGAACGTTAACTTTTTAATTTACAGCGCAGAGACACAGCACACGACGTTGTGAAATCAAATTATTTAAATAACACTTAGAATTTAATAAAAATTTAACACGCACAGTGTGTTTATTTCTCTTTATTCTATTTATAATTAGAGTCGTTACATTTTCTGACACTGACTTTCACAGATTTATGACTTTTAAAACTTATCTACACGAAAATATAAGGAATTTTCATCTCCAATTTTAACTAGCTCCATTTTTTAATTAAAAGTAGGCTTTTTACGTAATATTGACAGAATTATCATATAGGTACCTAATTAATTAGGTTGTAGAGATCTACTATTTTATCACAAATTCCCAGTGCATTTGATAACAATTACTTTTTTGATGACATGAAATAAGATTGTTAGATTCCAAACGTCGCAATTAACTATCGCAACTCAATTTGAGTTGTAAGTACTTATTGTTTTTCTTAATACTTAAGTATTCTGTTTAGTTTAAAGCGCAGTTGAACCTATTGCGCGTAAAGAATCACTGAAATCTTTTAATTAAGAAACATATTTGATGCATACCGTTAGTAACATTAACGACTGTATATGTTGAAATCCGTCCATCGCGGCTCGAGCAATAACTGGTCTAATCTCGTCTGCAATCTGCTTTAGTGCATCTTTACGGAGTTGATAACAACAGAATACAGATGTTTTATTAGTAAGTGAAAACGAAAAGTACTTTCGTTATGAGCTTGGTGTTTTACAATAGGAACCTATCTTGTTTTGTATTGCTAACAAAGTTAAAGCTAAAAGTCAAAGCTAAAAGTTACCTAATCACCTTGCGATATGGCACAACCAACGGAGGACCAATATCTATCAAGTAGCATTATTGAATAAGAATAATATTATACAGGTTGATTCAACTTGCAATGTCAGAACCAAACAAAGAGTTTCATTTATCGTCAATCGAACTCTACATTCTCTAAAACAGGGGTGGCCAAACTTTTGCCATGTGAGGTCTGCAATATGCTCGAAAATATTTTTGCGGTCGACTGCAAGGCACAGTTTAGAAGAGTGAAATAGAACATTTTTCATTTTCAATCATTCTGTTCAGATTATTTAACATTCGCGACCGGTAGACCGCGGTCGACCATTTGGCCATCCTGCACTAAAATAATGGTACATATTTATCAAAGCCGGCTGATTTCCACTTGCTCCCAACAAGTTTTTGAGAATGCACCTGCGTGTTCGTGTGTTGATATTTTCCATGCAGGTGTAGAGGCAAATACTTAAAGCGCGTTTTTTGACATACATACAGTGTGTTTTATTTATTTTATACACTCAAATGCGGTTTGCAGACCAAGAGCTAAGC